ATATCTTTAGGAAGATTATGTAAAATATCTCTAAACACTAAAAAATTAATCACCCAAACCTGCTTCAGGGCTTGTAGGGACACCTCAGAGTTTATACATTGTACTGTTATGTTTAAAATGATTGTTCAAGCAAGTCTGGTAATGGTCTAAGCAGGTTCAGAGAGATAGAGTTGTTATAATAATTACTGTTACAGCCAAAAATTTTTCAGTCTACTTCTGACTTGGATTAATGGATACAGACAAGTACTGGAGCTACCTGCAGCTACAGAGAGATGTCCTTTATGTTTCTCTGTATTATACAAATGTTACTTTTAGTGTTTTCCTTTACCCATAACAAGATAATTTGGTTCAAGAAAAACTAGGTTTTGCCTCCTGGAGCTAGATGGAACAGTTCAATAGAAAAGTTTCATTTGGTGAGTTTGGTCTGAATACTAATCAATTTATTTCCTGTCTATAGGTATGTGATGAGCCCCCACCCACCCACACCAAAGCAATACAAAATAGCCACACGGGGACTACACTCACATTCATCCTTTCTTTTTTGTCTTCAGGGTCTGGAGACAGACCCAAGGGAATTATTTGAAATCCCTTTCCTGGGCTACGCCTACTTGATCTGTGATATTAAATCTCTTCCACTCAAAGTTTATTCAAGAATGTTTAGGGTTTTGTTCAAGTTTATCTATATATTACACAGGAATAAAAAGCACCAGACTGGCGCAACTGATCTTCTTGGATGTTTAATACCCATCCTTAGCAGTCTATACTAATTTGGTCAAAGAGACTTAAAAAGACAATTTTTTTGTTCCTTGCCCCCCAAGGTCAACTAAATCCCGGGGGACTATGGGGCACCTCTCGAAATGTCCTGTAACTATGGTGACTCACCTGTCCTCTTGTTCAGGGAGGTCAATGGAGCCCCCACTAGAGGGACTCAAACCAGTGTCCAGTCCAGACAGAGGAGGGTCAGACCAGGGAAGTTTCCTCCATGTTTCCAAACTAAGCCACGGCCAAGCAGGACCTCCAGACTTATCCTCACATAGATGGAACTGGTAAAAGAAAAGCCAAAGGAGCCAGGGACTCCCCCAAAAGCCCAAGTGACCCCTGAGAACCAGAACTTCAACTGACCTTCACAATAAAACAAAATTTGGTTAATTTGGGCCAACTCTATGGTCTTAAACACCCCAAAGGGAAGTATAATCAAAAATTAAAATAATCAGTATATTTCTTTTAAAGTCCCAAAAATGATGCTTCCCAGGCATTAGGCTTAAAAGTTCATATAAAATATCTAGAAAAGTTTAAGATTTTGTGACACCTGCAGCCAAAAGGACAAGTCCACTATTGTTCTTACCAAAATTAACTAATGTCTAAATTTCTTCTTTCTCCCAGTCTAGAAGCCATCTGGGAGGGCTGGTGATTCTATGATCACCATCTGTGATTCTTGAAAGTAACTGACAAACAGATCCTGAGTCCAGCTGTGACAGCTAGGAAAAAAGGATCAATGAAAAGATGCTCTTGGAAGCCCTCATCAAAAAATAAGCCTGGATGGACTTTAATTTGGACATTTCTTTCTTCTGGTTCCCTGCCTAAAATGTGTGCCTGGCTACTCCTGCCTTACTTCTCCACCACATGTCCTCCAGACACTTTCAAGGATTACCTTTACTCTCTATAGCTAACAGATAAATACTTTGGGGGTCTTTTAGATAGCCACTGAAGGGGTACCCCACTTGCCACACTCTTTGCCCCTATTCAGCACGGAAGCCAGAATGCCCCAATGCCCCGATTCCTTATTGGCAATTACAGTTACCTCTTCAGAGGGCAGAGTAGTAAAACAGGAGTTACAAATTGACCAGGCAATTTCAGGTAAAGACCCCAAAAGAACAAGGCTAGTTTCTGTCCAGCTAAGGGCTTAAACTTCCCTGGGATCTGGGAGTAAACTTGACCCTCCCTAAGGCTAAAAATATCAAGACTACCAAATCAAAAATCCTCTAGTTCTGCTATTGCTGGAAGCTGGGGAGGCCAATAAGGGGTTCTGGGTGTTTCCATACCTCTCTCTTTTTCCTAAATAGCCTGTTCCTCAAAGACACACTGAGGACATGACCAGAACCTCAATGGACCTGGACACCTAAAATGAGGACTAGACTGGCGAGCTCATCTTCCTGTCCCCTCCTTGTACTACACTTAATTAACTATTGTCTCCAAAAATTCTTCCCGGGTCTCCTGACTGAGTACCCCGTATGACTGCCCAGGCCACTACCTGAGACCAAATTCAGACTATGCTCCCTTCCACTCCATGCCACCTAAGAACTTCCCAGAAACCAAAAGTTCCCTGAGACAAACGTTTTGCCCTAGCCCCAATGTTAATATTTTCTCATATCACTGTCTCGGGTCTGATAAAATGCCACCACTGCAGTAAGCTAGACCCAGGGTTTTTGCCAGGATGTCTCTCTGCTGCCCTTGCACCCTGGCCATCTGAACTGAAAATTTGTTCTCCAACTCCAGATGGGGCAAGGACAGCCCAGCCAGGCCTCACAGCTGACCTCAAAGCTGTGTGTGCCTTGTTTCCAGTGACATAAAATCCACCTTAGCCCCTCCTGCTTTTACACAGCTTGCTGGCCTACAGAGAAGCTGTGTCACCTTTGCTGACCTAATCCTCTGTTCAGTCTGCCAAAGGATCTTCAAAGTGACCTATGACTGATGCTTGGACCAGTCACCAATTGGGATTCCCTTACTGATGCAGTTAAAGAACTATGGCTTCAAGGAACCTTTCTATCCTATACCCTGCACTCGATCCATCTTTTTTCAACTGTGCCTGTATTTTCCTTCCCCCCAAAGCACTGCTGTGCATCTTTCCACCCTTCCCCATCCTCTTTTTACATCCCCAGGATCTGGAATGATGGAATGTGTGACAAGCCTGGAGCCTAATGAGAAAAGCAATATAACCACATATCCCTTAGTGTCCAACTGGCCCTAAATTGGCAGGCTGGCCTTGCTCAAGCCTTACCAACTGGTAACTCTCTGGACTGAGGGAGACTGGATGGAGCCCACCTGTCTCCTTTAGCACCCTAAGACAGCTTGCCTGCCCAAGAAAATGATCTTGGAAGACCTTCAATCAAGGACACCAGACCCTGGCACAGAGTAAACTGCAGCCGTGTGCAGAATTGCTATAAAAGTGGAACCCACCCCTCCCTCCGATGCAGATACCCTCATTCCTTGGGTTTTTCTGGCCCCTTGCTGTGTTCTTTGAATAAAGGAACACATCCCTTGCCTGTTGAAGGTCTGGCTCTTACTCTTATTTATAAACTTTAAATCCTTTTTTCTGCTCTCTTAAATCTAGCAGCCTTTGTGGCACTTAAGTAGTCCACAAACTTTTCTAGAGTTTGCTAAGATGTATAACACTATCTTCTGAGTAGAAAAATTGCTGTCTCTGTAAGACCGGCTGTACTTGCTTGCAAAAGATCATCACATCTGGGCTTACTGACTGCTGACATTCCTTCAGAGGACAGGATGGGAAGGGTCACTGACCCTCCCCTGAGCATCCAGCCAATCCTCCCAAGCCAGCTCTATGTGACTCTGCCCTAACCGCATGTGGCTTCAGGAAGGGCCAGGTATATATGCAAGGAAGACTAGGGGAAGGGCACTCCATCTCAGCAGCTATGGGGACACCAACATCCATGCTGGGTGAAGCCTTTCCAGTGCATCTGCTCTGGGGTTATCCATGATCCTGGAGGCAACCCCTCACACATGCTCTGTAAGTAAGCAAGATGAATTCATTGGTTCCCCAGGCTAAACTGTAGTAGAATCAAAACTTGGTTTGTCAATGGGACCTCATGAAGGGGTTTGTGGGGGTATACACTGCTTAGTCATCTCCAAGGAAAAATTCTCACAACACATGGCTTGTGCTGTTATAGAGAGGCTTATCTCAAATCACAGCTCAATGTTTCTTCATGCAAGGAAAGTGGCAGTCCTCAATCTGTCTACTACAATACAGACATTTGTGCTTCTTTCCAGTTCAGTATGAAGTTCCCGCATGAACGATCATTTATGTTTAAATAAGCAATATTTAAAATAGGTCTTTTTTTTTCTCGACGGTGATATAATGCATAATCAGGTAACTTTTGGTGTGTACTGTGTTTGTGCATGCAACTGTTGAACCCAGAAGGCAGCCTTGGGTGTGTCATGTGTGCATGCCATGATACAAATGTGGAGGTCAGAGAAAAACTTTCTGCAGTCAGTTCTTTCCTGTCACCATACAGGGCCTGAGGACTGAACACACTGTGAGGCTTGGCAGCAAGTGCCTTTACCCAGAGCCATCTTACCAGTCCTGTCTTCATTTTTTTTTTTTTTTTTTTTTTTTTTTTTTTTTTAAAAAAAAAAAAAAAAAAAAGAGGACGATAAATCTTTCACTGTGATATATCAAAATAA